CAGTAAGAGTTGGAGTTGTGTCCTCTGAGGAGTGTGTGTGTGTGTGTGTGTGTGTGTGTGTGTGTATCTGTACGTACGTGTGTTCAAGGATGACCTTTCACTTACCTATTCCTTCTCCATCATCCCAGAAGAACGATCCCTGAGCAGTTCTGTTGTCACTCAGGGCAACTATCAGTCCTAGAGGATTCTTCCGGCTGAGACAAGACGAGGTAAAGAGGGTTACGACTCTGAAGGATGTTTATTAATGCCACCTTGCTGCTGCTGAGGACATATACATTAACATTTGTGCTGAGGGGATCCACCTGAGCTCAGCAGCAGTTTGACCCCCCCCCCAGATACAGCAGCAGTGCACATACTGCACAGAGATGCACCAAAAGACAGAAAAGACTCACTAGACACACCTGATGTTAACATGTGAGAGCATTTACCAGTAAAATGTGTTGTTCTCTGGTTTCTGCCAGGGCACCACAAAGCCTCCTCTGATATGAAGGTTGATGTGGTCCATGGGCGTGGGCATAGCAACCATCTTGCCGCGCTCTCCAACATTTTGAGCCTGATGAAAGCAGCAATAAATACACACTGTTAAAATACAAGAAGTACTACAGGTAATTAAATATTCATTCATTCATTCCTTTGTGGGAAATTGCCATTTGAGAGCGAAGCACAAGGTGGAAATGTGTGACATCTCCAAAGGCTTCATCTGAAACCTTTCTGTCATTTAGTTCTATAGAGTTTTTGCAAACTTCTTAATTCCTCTTGGTCAATTGGTCTCACAGTCTGTTGTTTGTGTTTGCTCAGGGAACGAGGAGCCGCTCCTCTCCACCATCACAGGCCTCCATTCAATATATTGTTCCTTGAGTTTTGTTTGGCTTCATAATGCTGCCTAACAGATGGGGGAGTCCCCCAGCTAGTAAGAGACTGAGTGATTGGATGTTTGCTTTTGTAATGAAGGCGCCTTCTGCACTTGTTGAGCAAAAATCTCCTTAATGATGTTGTCAGAGACGACCGTCGTTTGGGTTTTTGTTGTAGTTTTTTTTGTCTTTAGTTATGTCTCTTTATTTTTGTTTGTCATAGAGCACCTTATACTTGCACTGCTTTGAATGCACATCACAAGACGAGGTGCAAAGATGGACTTTCATACCTTAGGATGGGACACTCTGCAGACACTAAGACACAATTCAGACGCACTAAGCTCTCCCTGTCATTTTGCTTCAGTGCTAGCTGAAATATTGTTTCAAGGAAAGATAGGGGGAGGCTTTGTATTCAGTGAAGAGTTTATCATTCTACAGTCATTTTCAGACATGAACTCAGGAGAGAGTCTGCTCTCCGCAGCAGCAGGAGATCCATTTTTCGGGCATGTGTTAGAAACGTCATCAACACACACGCTTGTTAGCGGTGAATCCTCCAGAAGATCTATGGGTTTATTCTCACACGAGCTCATTCGGACATTCCCCAAGGTTCTTACTAAATCGGAATTTTCTCACTCAAACAATAACGTTCTCATGTGCAGGGCTTCCAGGGAATGACAGGAGAATATCCAGAGTTCAGTGCATATCTGAAAGCAGCATAATTGTTTCCTGGTTGTTGCGGACATAGACTTACCGAGTGGAAGTCATACCAGCGTGCATCGGGAACATAGCCGTCCACGCTCCTGGCTCCCTGTCAATCACAAAATCAGTTAACCAAAAGAGAAATACAGGCCTGGAGCAGTAGACTGACAGCTACCCCTGAAATGATTGATAAGCTGCATTTGTGATATCTTAAATTCTGCGGGGGGAAAAGTGAAAACATGTTGTATGTGTGTGTGTACCTGGTCGAGTACAGGGGTGATCAGCAGAGCAGGTCCCCAGAGGAACTGCCTGTGGATGTCCCATGTAGCTCTATCATTCACAAACCTGTGACACAACAACACAGATGCCATTTAACCAGATGAAAAAAATATATATATTTCCAATGCTCCCTCCCGTCTCCTCAGGCCAGATGACTGTTCAAGTACTCATTCAGAATTCAATGATTTGACTATGCGAGCTAAATAACGCTGCCAGACTCCCCCTGCCAGCTCCTTAAACACCATCTGTGACTTTACAAGAGTCTCTTATAATAGATAAATATGCTGTGTGTGTGTGTGTGTGTGTGTTTTTTTTTTTTAAATATGTTTCACACGTCCACATCTGGGAGCTTCTGATACAGAGTCGTCTAAATACATAGTTACACTTGAATCAAAGTGCCTTGCTCAAGGGCGTCTTAATGGCAGTTGCTGAAGTGGTTGAAACAATTTTCTGACCTTGTCATGTTCTTCAAATGGGCAGATGTTGCAAACCAGCTTTTCTAACCTCACTAAAAAGAACAAGGATGCACAAACAGTGGGCAACATATTTTACATCTGTAGCTTCGAGGGGACGGTTTGATGGTAACATATTCTAACTAGTTGCAATGAGCTAGGTGTTAAAACGGAGTGAGGCTGAAAACGTGTTGAGGCACTAAAATGAAAGCTTTCCTGAAATTGGTTTTAGTCCAGCAACCATCACATGGAACATTCTGCATACTGATAAGAAATAGTGTGGTATAAAATCAGGTGGTCTTGCCAGCAATCAGGATAAAAGATTCATGCTGTTAATAACGAAATGACTTCATTAAGTCATTACTTGTAATGTAAGAGCCATGACGTCAGCAGAAAAGATCAGGCCTGTGTGTGTGTGTGTGTGTGTGTTGTGTTTGCTTACTCATGCAGGAGAGGTCTGATTACTGTACTTCCTTTGGTATGAGCCTCGAACATCAGTGTGTACAGGTAGGGCAGGAGGGTGTAACGGATGTTTAGGACGTCCCGGGAAGCCTCCGCAAAGGTGGAGTTCCAGGCAACAGGGTCTTGTCTCTGAGAGAAAAATAATTTTAGTTTTAGGACCTGTCACCAAAACAAGAAAAGTGGTTGGAGGAGGATTTTGGCCGCCGCCGTTCTTCAGATGCCAACAAGACTAAAAGAGTTAAGCTGCTGTAAACTTCCCAAAGCCCAATAGAAACATAACAGTGGCAGTAAAGTCACTTTAACTTTTCAGGACCAGCTTTATCACTGTGAGGATATTGTAGAGTGGATGAGATTGTCACACAAGTCCACATTCATCGAAAGTCATTAGATTTGAATAATTGCAATAAGTTATATTTGGCGGTACGGCTTTGTTCCCTTTCACCTGAATGTGTGGAACGGCTAAATACACACTGACACCTGCTCATATCTGGCTTTTGTCTTCAATGTGAATGGACTCTGACTGACATTGCTTACATGTAGTCAGAGACTGGTGATGAGTATTTAACAGATTCTCTGGTTCAATAGATATACATTTCAAAAGCTCTGGCTATGGTTCATTACTCTCAGTTACAGGTGCAGATACTCACACACAGGCAGGTCTATATGCAGAGTCTGTATTACGTTTAGATTCATCAGTGAAATAAATGTACATCCACACACAACAGCATTTCTCTTATCTTGTCCTGTTTCCAGCGTTGACTGTTTCTCATTTGTATTTGACAACGACGCTGAGAATGAATAACTTCAGGCATGAGGAGACTGACGGCAAACCTGTTTGGATTGTGGCACATGCCAGAAATAATCAAATGGCCTGTGTGTTCTTCTAAATGATGCTCATGCCTCCTCTGCTTCACGCTGTGCTGACATTTACCTGATTTTAATTGGCAACAAGTGTAACTCCCCCCCTTTAGAGACAAGGACAGGAGAGGAGGACACAGTGTACTACTATTTTAAAAATACGGGAAGATTTAAATGTAATAGCTCAGTTTTCTGGAGCTGCACACGCACACAGAGGATCATGAAGATTTTCAACTGGACCGTGTGTGTGTGTGTGTGTGTGTGTGTGTGTGTGTGTGTCTAGGTGTGTACCCTCAGATTCGATAATAATTATTGACCATAGCCTGGTGGTTACTAAGTACAGGCCTAACAGCTTATGATTGAATTCAGAACATCTCTATTATCTTATGACCTAAGGAGTTTGCCAGATTATCATATAACTTTCTGAGTGTATTCACAGGATTGTAATTATGTGGAAACCCAGGAGTTCTTCCACCTGCCTCCCTTTTCAGACACACTCCTTGTGCAGACTCATGCCTCACATTTGAACATGTTCAGGGGTGAGTTATGTGTGTAAAATAGAGCTAGAGACCAAGATATAAATGTGAGATAAACGGGTATTCATGCATATTAATGGGAATATAAACATCGACACTTGATGCAGAAACTGTTCAGAGTTCTGCTTCCCAGCCTGAACTGGATTGTTCCAGCTGAGGTATCAGGTTGATGCTTTCAGCTTCTGGCTCAGGTTGGGTTCATTTGTTACCTCTGGCCAAAGAGCTTTTGTGTGTTAGTTTGGTTTTTCTTAGTTTGCCAGTTAGCAGGATTGCGCAGAAACCACTGAACGGATGAGGAGGGAATTCAGTGGAATGGTGCAGTATGGGTCAGGACAGAACCCCACGTTAAGGTTTGGTGACATCTTTAAGGGGACTGATATTTATGAGTGTGTGTGATTTGGTGCAGATTCAAATAAAAATGTGGATGGAGTGAATTTAAATTAGGTTTCGTAAGGGGACTGTTGGGCCTTGGCGGAGGTATGCACTCTACTAAGTGCCCCTCTAGGTGGTTAAAGTAATTTATTAAGACATTCTTCTTTTTCCTTTTTCTCCTGTCTCTGTCTGTCGTTGTAGGGTTCAACAGGTCTTATACAGTTTGTATCACACGGGATTTAAGGTCCAGTGTGTAAGATTTAGGGGAAATGGAACTATCGGCAGAAATTGAATGTAGAATAATCCTCATGATGTTTTCACTAGTTCATTTCATCCAAATTGTATGAATGGTAGTTTTCTTTCCCCTAGAAAAGGCCCTTTATATTCAAATACTTTATATTTACATCGGGGGGGTCCTCTCCACGGAGGCCGCCATGTTTTGTACAGTAGTGCAGACTGGACAAACTAAACACCTTTTGAGTTTTCATGACAAATGAAGGCTGCCACAGGTTCTCACTGATGTTTGGAAGAGGAGGGTGAGTGAGGGGTGTTCAGCTGCAACATGAAACTTCAACACTAGAGAAGTTTTTCACAATAACCACAAAGTGTAAGATAGAAATAGAGGTACAGATTTGGAAATTCTAAAGATTACATATTGCAAATAAATGCAGGGAGGTCCACTGATACAGTATGTTGCCTGATGATCATAATAAAGTTAGTTACATGGCTATTTAATTATACTACCAAACCATAGAATTACTTCAGAAAATGTTGTACAGAGTTATTGGTGTGTGTGCTGGAATTTGATGCAAGTGTTCCTGGTACCTGATCAAGGCTCAAATATCCCCACCAAGTATTCAATAGCAGTGAAAAGGTAAAAGGTATGTGAAAAGATGGACGTTCATATATAACCAGTACCCCTCTAACACATGTTGACCGTTTGTCTTGCAAAGTTAGTTTGATCTCTTTGCTTTCAAAACCAAAGCAGAAAGGTTTTTTGTGTTAAGTCTTCAGAGAAAGCAAGCAGTTTTAAGACATGACCTCAGACTCTAACTTATATTTATATATTACTAAAAAATCACAACTGTCATGATAACTGACAGTTGTGATTCCAATGCTGCCATTGCATGAGACTTAAGCTCACCAACAAGAAAATCTCCCCATTTCTTTTTCCTTCCAACTTTTTAACATTCAGTCAGTCTCACAAATCGTGCATTGCTTGACAGTTGTACCACTGTCTGTTGGGCCCTCAAGGTAGACTTTTCATCTGTGGAAACCCAGTGGAGGAATTGATGAAGAGATGTGAGCAGGGAGTGCAGAAGAGCAAAGAGCAGACAGAGAATCCATCTCATGAATCCGCCTAATTTATGGCCACATTTATTGTGGCAAAAGGCCTTGTGACACACACTGATTGGAGGCAGAAATGTATGTGTGCGTGCACGTTCTTATGCGCACAGCTTCGAGGAAGGAAAAAAAAGAGGATATCTCCCTGTGTCAGCCCCCCTCATCTTTTCTCTCCTCTACTTGGTCTTTCTCTTCATTTATCTGTCGGAGATCTATTCTCTAGGCCCGTCTCATAAAGCTCATAAAGACTTTCTGTTTTGCATTGCAGAGCCTCACATCAGAAAAAGAAAATATATTTAGAGGAACAATAATACGTCCCTTTGGGTGAATAATGATAATATACATGACTGGAATATGACTACGCTGCCGGAGCGGGCTCGGCAGAGAATATATCTTGTTTAATTAATTTTGCATTGTTCCCGTACGACTGTGGACACTGCAGTATATTGCTGGTGCAGTGAAATTATCTCGAGGTCAACATTGAAAGTTGTCTGAGGGCAAAGAGACGCTAGGCGTGACGGAGCTCTGGGAATGACTCTGCAAAAGCTCGCCTCTCTCTTTCTCTCTCTCTCTCTCTGTCGTCTCTGACCTTGTGTACCCTCCAGTCTGGTCTGTGGTGTTAATACTTTGTTGTCAAACGCCTTGTTAAGCAGACTGGAGGATACAGTCGCTAACTGTCAGATGATTGTGGATTTTATATGGCTGACTAAAAATAAAGGAAAAAAACAGTAGACCACATACTTAACTGACACTGATTCCCTTTCCTCTTCTCTTCTATCAGTTTTTAATCCTTACACCACTTTTAATTTGACTTGATCACTGATGTTTCAAAATTGGTGAAGTGTTTATTCAGCCTTGTCCCAGCTCTAGCATCCTCATCTCTACCCTTCAACTTGAACCACCATCTTGTTTTATTCCCCCACCAGTTTCATCACTGCATCAATTCACTCCTCTGTCTCAGAGCTTCTGAACTTCTCTCGTCCTCCTTCCTTTATCTCTGCTACTTGTCAGTATTCATCCTCTCAATCCTTCAGTTCTTCTTTTCCTGTTTGGCATAAATACCTGTATATCCCGCTCTAGCACCAGTTCTCTCTCTGCCCCTTTAACTTTGTCTCCCTGACTTTATCCCTTCCTCTCGAACTGTTTCTTGCGCTGCCTTCTCCTTGTGCGCTTTTTTTTTCCTGTCAAAATTTTTCCCCATTTGAAAACCATTGTTAAATAATTGGAATCATGGTGTGTGTGTGTGTGTGTGTGTGTGTGTGTGTGTGT